TCAACAATGGTACCACTGGTAACCTTCTTCCAACAAGAATAGCGTTATTTAGTGACTCTGGAATGTTACTTGTTAGTGTCCAAGTCCTTTTTATTGGTGAATGTGCGCGTGACCATTTCTCATGATTTGCTTTTTGTAGATAAGCACGGTATTTTGGATTAATTTGATCCATTATTTTCATCAATTCATCAAACTCTTGAACAGTGTATGCTTTTGCTAAACTGAAGAATAATGTTCTCACCTCTTTTGTATCTCTGTATGTTTTCTTTAGTAAATTGGTCCATCGATGGTATATGCATGCGTAATGTCTAAATTCGGGATAAACAGCTGCAATAGCATTCCAAATGCTCTTATTTCTATCAGAAACAAAGCACATATCTTCCCTTTCACCGAATGCATTTTAAAAATTCTCAAAGAACCATAACCATGAATCATCATTTTCTGAATCAACTATTCTGTATGCAAGCTGCAAGATGTGACCTATACAACAAATATCTTCAAAATAAATACAACATATATTGTTTATATATAAAATAAATCAACCTAGTTGCAGTAATGGTATAAACAGTACCTCCTGGATCTAATGTGCTAGCTATCAACATTGTGCCTTCGTTTGTTGATTTTAAATATGTACCATCCACGACTACTATTGGTCGACAATACTACCAGCTTCTTATACTTGCATCAAGTGCTATAAATGAATATAAAAAACGATTTTCATCTGTTTTTTTATAATTCACAATTGTCCCTGGATATATCTTCTCCAATATATATAGATATGTTGGAATTTTTCCATATGATTCGGCAGGGTCACCTCTTAATGTCTCGAAAGCTTTTTTTTTACCTATCCATGCTTGCATGTATGTCAATGAAATACCATGTATTCTTAGCATGTATGCTCGTATGTCTGTTGGTGTGTAAACGATTTTCAAATCGACATACTTTTCAACCAACATTGCACCAAACACACCACTTGTTGATTGTCACTTTGATTGAATTCATTTCTTCAATGGACAAGAATGTGTATCATAGAATTTTCTCACTTTGAATAACTTTGAATTATTCAAACATGAGAATTTAAAAACCCATGAACAGTTTTCTGTAGCACACTTTAGATAGTAACTGCAAAAACTTAGGCATTAATATACATGGTAAGTTGTTAAAATATATTAGTAATTTTTAAAATCAACATTATATAATAACTCACCAAGTAGGACTTGATCTTTTTGCAATGAAACAAAACTCTCTTAGAAATGCATATCACTTCATAACTTCCGATATAGTTTGCTTGTTTATATAAACTTGATCCTCGGCCACCAAATTGTGTTGAGAATTTGAAATTATTTCAGTACCTTCAGATTCTTCAATACAACCTTCCAAAATTGGATCCATGCTAGTCAAACATAGTGTGTTGGATTCCAAAATATGTTGACGTGTTGTTTGGACATTAGTTTGGTACTCAATGGATTCCATAGCTCTGTCCACACATATCACACATAAAGGATATTTTGAAAAGAAATCTGAATTGCATCTCTTTTGATCTAAATAAACTTGCACTCCCATATCGTTATGTATCTTCATTGGTGGAGATGGACCACTCACGAAATACTTGAGTTTCAAATGATAAATTGTTGTGTCCACTCCCAATTGTGAAGATATAGTTGTAATCAAGCCTTCGTATTTGGTGGTTGGATCATACATCACTCCTTCAATATTGTAATCCACGTAATTGTCTGTTTAAAATAACAAATTCTTCATTAATTTTAAAAGGAACTTTCAGAATTACTTACTACAGTCATCAACTTATTTAGCTTTGTTTTTACATTGATTTTCGTTGGTATATAAGTCAGTTATTGAAATACCAAATTATTTTACCAAAATTTTAACCATTTAATGAACTTAAAAAAAACAGTCAAAGAAATACCAAAATATTTTACCAAAATTTTAACCATTTAATAAACTTAAAAAACAGTCAATGATTACATACCCTTAAACCAATTTTTAAAATTTATGATTTTATCAGGTTACCATCAATAAATGTAGGAATTATTTTTCATATTATTATTTACACCAATTCACATACTTAAAATACACTAAAATATGTACCATATTTTTATTTATGAGGTTCTAATTATATACCATAAATCGTCAAAATTATAGTTTTTTACACCACCAATTACACCAAATAATTTATTACTGCAATCATTTTAATATACGTATGTTCATATGTAAGATAATATAAATTTGACCAAACAATACACCAAAACATACATCAGGCTATATGTTTGGTGTCAGTTATTAGCGACAATTATACCAAATCACATACCAAAACAAATACAGAAATACATATCACAAACCTATTGATATAAAATATTTGCTATCATACGACACACATCATACCAATTAAACATAAACTTTAACAAAAAACAAATTTGACACATCAGTGTACAACAAAATCATATGAAGTTGTTGTAATTACACCAAAATTTCGGCGATCCAGAACATCAATCAAATTGTATTAATTAATTTACACCAAAATTGACAAACTAAACAAAATGAATATCTACCAAAAAGTACAAAATAGATATTTGTGAAAAATCAAATTCAACCACGTAATAAAACACCATGAGAATTATTTTTTATATAATTACCTGATGAGTCTCATCGCCCGTTGTGTTGAATTAGAATTGAGAAATTATTGGTATGCATTTTTTTTCGATAGTTGTTCTTCTCAAAGAAAGAGAGTTTTGTTTTGGTAGGAAACCTCTATTTATGGGAGATAATATATAACATATTTGAATAAATTAGGGAAGGTAAAATTATTGGAGAAATTTATGGGAATCGGGATAAGCGTGGCTGATTTGGAATATTTTTTTTTAATTTAAATTCTACTTTTGAAAAAAAAAAAGTAATGCTATATAATTGGAAAAAAAAGTATTGCTATGTTGGTGTAAATACAGTTGTTAAGTTGTATACTTGAAAAAATGGCCTTTAATTATTATATAAGGCCATTGAACATTATTTGACCTAATTATACTTTACCGGATCTTTATCCTAGATAATGACCTTTTTTTAAAAACATCTATGAAGTGATGGCTATACTAATTTCCATTTGATTGGCTTGCCATAATTTTACACCTTTAATTAATAAGCAACTTCTTGTTTTCCAGAAAATTTGATGAAACTAGTGCAAGTGAGTGTCTAATAAATACTTTTAAAAAGAAGTGCCTAATAAATTCTATGACAGATTAGATAGGTGAGCTATTTGATAAAAGCATAATTAAACATAATTTATCGTATTAGTTTATTTTAATTGGTTATACTAGATTACTTAAAATCTTTGTAGGTGTCAATAACTAAACATAAAAATTACATAAAAAATTTCCTTTAAATGTATGTTACACCTTATTGTTTATGACTTGAAAACGAAACACAATTATAGGACTACACTAATACAAAAAAAAATATTTTAAAAAAAACTAAAATCAGAAATAATAAAGTAATTTAATCATGAAATAATAACATTAAATTAAAATAGTGAGTCAAAAAGTTTAATCTATTAAAATTAAAAAGTAGCATTAGGAACAAGTTTGGTTATCAATGGAATGCATAGGAAGATCAATGAGTAAACAAATTCAAGGATTATATACTTTTGACTAGAAAAATTATATGGAAACAAAATAAAATGTAATCATACAAGAAATTTGACTTTCTAAATTAAATTTAAGTTTTTGGTAGTTTATTAAGTAGTTAGATCGAATTTTAATTTTCTGAAATCTAATGTTAAACAATTATAGTAAATTATTTACGAGCTTTACATATTTCATAATTTTGAATTCTTTTTATTTCTAGGATGTCCTCTTCAAAGCAACTATAAAACCATGCTCATTGTCCCTTGTTTTTCACCCGCAATCGCATTAGTTCTCTGCTTATTCTTTATATATATTTTCTCCATTTTTAGATCTCATTTCACCTTTTATTTTTAATATTTCATAAATGGTCCACATTACCTATGACCTACAAATTGTCCCAAAATTTATCCCAATTCTATGTTAGATTTCTTTGAGCGAGTTTATTAAATAAATATTAAATTTATGAGTTATCAAGTTATTGAATTAACCACAATGCAAGCAATACATTAAATTGTTATGTTTTATCATAGCTAGAGGTACCTTTGGTTAGAGGCATTTCTAATAGGTAACTATTTTTTGTGTAGTTTATTGATCATTATATTAGCTAAATTTATGATTTTATTTGTTGAATTTATAAAATATGATTTTTATGTATACAATTGGCATAACATGATCAAAAGAGGAGCAATTAGGAGACCGGAGATTTATCTATCAATTGTGTGGAATGAGTGTATTTGATATTGAAGAATAATATTTCGTTAAAATATACAATTGAAAATGTATCATTTATGGTGATCAACACTTTTGTGTGATAATACTTCTGAATTTTGTATGTGTCAAAATAGATAAAAGTAATATTATTTATTTTATTTTTTACTTTTACTCCATAAATAATGATGTATCTCCATTTATGTGAATATTCATCGCAAATTATTATCGGACCTAAAAATTGTGGTAGATTAGTGGTTGATGCACAAATAATGTCTATAATTATGATGGTTTTTGTAATATACGTAGAATGTACTCATGAAAAAGCACAATGAATATTTAAATTTTATATAATCATCGAGTGATGTCTTATTGAGACAAGTTTTTTCTACGTAAAAAAATCCTACTTGAGGAGACACAAACTTTTTTTTCTAAAACTCACCCTCGATGAAAACTTTTTCGTCGGTAAGAAGTCTATAACTTAATTTATTTTGAAAGTATGACCAAGTAGTGATTCTTAGTGAATACAGTTAGATGTCTTAATTTTTCAATAAAAAAAAAAAGAAAATTGCCATACCTCAATTCAGATTTGACTACGCAGTTCATTACTAGATAGTATTTTTTTGGGTCAGATTTCAGGCTTTTATTGATAAAATTTAAACACAAATAAATAACACATTTGGGCCTAACAACCAAATCTATTAAGACATACCAAAAAAATCTAACAAACAAAACCCACTTCAGATCCAGCCCAAAAACTAATCCCTATGAATACTTCCTTAAGTCTAGGGTTTTCTAAATCAGCCTCTTTTCATTCATCGCCTTCATCCCTAACCATCTCAAAGATGTTCCCTCTTTGGGATAACAAGAAGTTCTGCCTCGGCATGTTATGGATCAATGTTAAATTCTTCTCCTTGCATCCTTGTTTATCAACTAAATAAGAGTAAGTCTTCTCTATTTTCCTTACTTCCTTGTTCATGCGCCTGTTTCAGCTGACCAAAGTGTTGTTGCAGTTTTTTGTTATTTGATTTGTTGGATTATTCTTGTGCGTTACTTCTAGATCTGATCTCAAGGAAGGATGCTTAATCATTAGGTTGGTGATTTCTACTTCTTTTTTCTCATTTTTGCCCTCATCTTTGATTTCTTTGTTTCTGCTACCTTACACGTGGTTCTTGAATGGAGTGCATGGGTAGCTTCTTTCCACCTCCTCATACTAGTGATTAAAGCTTCTTCCGGGTTAGAGCGTCTTCATCTGACTTAGATCCTCCTATTTCGTCGAGTCCTTTTTGCTAGCTGAAAATAGCCTAGTCTAAATAATGTTTCACATTGTGTCTTTTGTAAATGATGTATATCTGAAAATAAAATAAAAAAACCTATGTTGTAGCTTTTCCTCCCCCATTATCTCCTTATCGGTGATACTTTTAGATATAGACTTTTAAATTTGTCGCTATAGTTAGTGGCGGGACCAACATTTTTTGTCAAGGGTGTTATTTTTATGACAGGATGTGGATTAAATTTTTTAACCAAAATTAAAAAAATAGTAATTATATTTTAATCATAAAAGGAGAAAGTCAAACACTAAATGATATCATTGGCTTGTTTTGATTAATAAAAAGGAACTTTTTATTTTTTTAACAATAAAAGAGAGTTTTTCATTTCTTTTTCAACAAAAAAAGAGGACCTTTGTTAAAGTGAAAAAAAAAACTAAATATAGTTGTAGGAGCCTAGGGTCGTACCCAGACCTCCAAGGGAAATTTGCATAGCTTTAGCCACTGAGCTATCTCTCTCTTTTGTGTCAAGGGTGTTCAACAATTAGTATATATTTAACAATATCTATATTTAATCTATTTTTTAAAAAAAAAATCGCCGAAAGGTGTTCATCTGACCATCCTTGGGTTTGTGTAGTTCTTCCCCTGTTTATAATTCTTCCTCCTTTCGCATCCATGCTTTGAAAATATATGTGAATATGCAATTTCCTTTTTTTTAGAGTCATGTTTGCCAAGTAGTCTGTAAGTTGATTCTCTTCCCTCATTATATGATGAAATCTATATTGTTTACCTTGTAACCAGTCCCTAATTTTTTCAACGGCTTCGTTTATTATCCACGGAATTACTAAATAGTACTCCTATTTATTGAAATGACAAAAGCCAGAAATTGCATATGAAAGATGATTGATAAATATAACAAATATAACTTTCATACCAAGAATAAATTTGCATATGATGTAATTTTTTTTTTTCTAATTTTGATGCCTTCATTGTATATTTCAATGATGTTGCTCTTCAACGTGATTTAAATGATATTCTCAATCTCATGGTAATTAGAAGTTATGTATGTGAGATTTTGGGTGAAGAGCTCCTTGAACCTCTTTACAATGTTAAATATTAGTCATAATTTTGGCTAATAAACTATAAAATTGTTTTTTTTTTAAAGCTAAGGACTATTATTTTATTCTCTTTGAATAATTATATTTGAAAGAAAATCTGTAAGCTATTTCTCATTATTTTTTTGCATAGTGGTGTTTTAAGGAAAATTTCTCATTATTTCCTTTGTTAAGGTATTATACTTTATTTTAGCTGCTAAGGACCTAGAAGTAACAATACATGTTAGGATATAACTAAATTATCCTCAACTTTAAGAGTGTCATCCTTAAGAAATAAGAAGTGACCAGTGATCAATGTGCCTCTAACATATAATTTTTTAATGATAGAATTAAGTTCTTAAGAAAGTATGCAGATGCAATATAATGAAGACTTATATATACATAGAAGTGTAAAAGAAGCATATTTTTGTTAGTAACTATAATCTATATTTTTTTCTACTTACAAAGAAGAATTGAGATGGAGGAGGAAAGATTGGAGCGACTTCTTTTGTACGGCTTCAAAATATGAATAGAGATTTTGGCTTTAAAAATTAGTAAGAACGTTTTTCTGATACTATTACTTTATACTTTTTTGTATTGGTTGCAAATGTTTCCTATAATATTATTTTTTTCATACCTTAAACATGCACGTCTTATGTATCACTATGATTTAGAGAACATAATAGTCCTTATCCGTTATTATAACATGAATGGACTTATAATTAATTGGTTCAAGTGTTGAAAAGAAGATCAAGTATTATTGAACTCTGAGTTCCAAGAATTTTGATTTTCTTTATTATTTAAATAAGAGTCAACATTAACTCTTTCTAAATTCAGCTTCACAAAGTTATGTTGCTTCCTATTTAAAAAGTGAAGATCAGAATCCTTGTTAACCCATAGTTCAATAGCACCCAATATTCTCTAAAATGCTTAAACCAACACTAGTTCATCCATATTATAATGAATAAGAACAATTTTCTTCTCTAGTTCAAAAGAACACGTAAGATTGACATGTTTAAGACATGAAAATTTTTGTTATTGAAAACATTTGCAATTGACTCAGAAAAGTGTAAGTCGTAGTAGCAGAAAAATCAATTTTGCTAATATGTATCCATAGGCGAAACTCATAAACAGGCCTCTAAACTTGATGGATTTTTCCCCTTCGAGTACCTTCACTATGCTATTTTCCTATTGAATCTTGAACCACCCATAATTTGCTCCTTTTAAATATTGTTGGCTAATGTGGCACAAAATGTGATCTCATGTCGTTTGAGCGCGTGAAGACGTTTTGAAGGCGCTGATGTGGATCCCTGAACCACCCACCAACGATCTTCTTACCCTTTTAACCCTAATTTCTCCCTTTTTCTCTTATTTCTCCTCTTTTCTTTCTCTTCATCATTAAGTTGGAGCTACTCATCAAAATATATCTCTTCTTCATTGATTTCTTCATAATCACCAAGTTCCAATGTCGAAGTTATCTTGTTCATCGATTTCTTCTTCTTCAACTGCAAATGTGCTATGTCAATGTGGGGTTGTTGTGGAAATGAAGATCTCATGGACGCAATCCAACCCTGGACGTAGGTTCCTTTGTTGCAGAATTTCAAAGGTAATTCATTTTTACTGTCCAATATAGTAAAGAATCCTCTTATTTGTAATTCATTTTTTTCTTTAATTTTGTAGGCACGAGGTGGATGTGGATATTTCTGATGGTGTGATGATGAAATGCCGGCTCAATCTAGGAAGGTGATATGGAGTTTGTTGAAAAGAGTCAAAACATATGAACTGGAGAGGAATCGATCAAGAAAAGTATGAATGATATGCATTGTCATAGGGGTGATATTGGCTACTTGGATTTATGTAACAAAATGATCTTAGTGCTTTGGTTCATTTGTCGTCTTCTAGATTCCTTCAATAGCATGTAGGTAGATTGTAATCTTCTCTATGAGGGCAATTTTGATCGGCATTTCTATTGTAATTGTCTTCAATTGTGTTCTTATTGTACTGATTTTGATTTAAGGAATGAAGACAAACTATGTGTTAGTCTCATTTGTTTTCTAATGTGTTGAAATGACTTCTGAAGTAAAACACAATTATTCTCGAACATTTTCACACAAAATGGGGTAAAGCATAATTATGAGCGTTCATACGCTTTTACTATTAATTAGACTAATGAGTTCCGAAACAACATAAAATCAACACAAACATAACTAATCAACCATACCATTAATTTGCTCTAGTGAGCTCCAATCAAACATACCAATCCATGACAACTAATTAAAAGTAGTACTATATCGCCATATAGAATAAAAACACACATCTCTATTGCTATTTGGTTGTTTGAATATGTTATGTACCTTTGTTTGGACAAGCGATACTACTCATTAAATTCATTTCGTTTTCATTTCTTCATAGTTCATACAACAAATTCATTAAATCAAATACTAGCAGTACTCATTAATTTTTATTTTTATTTTGTCATACAAATTTATTAAACCAAACACTAGTAGCACTTTTTAAATTCATTTTTCTATTTCTTCATAAAGCACATTTGTTTCACCATGGGATTAAAGACGAATATACTATTATTTTTTAAATATCCGAGCAACATAAATTTTGAGTAAAAATGGTACATACAAATAAAAGAACCTATGAAGGGAAGTAGCATACATTACTGAATTCAGAACAAAACAGATCACAACTAACAAAAGCAAAAAATAAAGTTGCAATTCATTTCATTGCCTTCAAATTCAAATAAACAACTAACCTGCTTCATCTTCTAAATGAGTGACAGTTTTTGTAACACCTAGGTTAGTATTTACAAACTTAGATTGTGTAGTCTCCATGGTGCTTCTTATATCATTTACATAATCTATGCTACTGTTGTCACTACTATTTACAAAGGCACTAGCCGTTTGGCATATCGCTCCAACACTATCCCTCACGGTTTCTCTGCCATGGTGAAGTTCAATGCTGGATTCATCCATGGAAAGGGAAGAGCACTCACAACCACTATTTAACTTGAGCTTATTGCTTTCAGAGACCTCTGGACTTGGACGTAACTGTTGGCTGTTGTTGCCATGAACACGAACACGTGATCCATTTAGTAAACAAAAATAAGAAATCTCACTTCAGATAAAGCAAATTGCTATCCACCTCTAAAACAGAAAATCAGTTTCAAAATCTTTTCAAACCAAGGAAAAGTGTTGATTACCTTGCTTTTCCGCTCTTGGAAGCTTGAAGGTGGTGACAATAAACTGGAAATAAATGTTTTGACCTTGCCTCAACAATATGAGTTGGTATTACTTCAATCTCAGCCTCTCCACCACCTTCGTCATCTAAGTGAATCCTATCCATAACAAATGATCGAAAAAATACCTGCATATTAAAAAAGACAATGGAGATTTCAGCAATTACACAAAAAGGGTGGAAGTGAGACTGCTGAATTAAGATCACGTTATCGTACAAAGGTTAAAGTACCTCAGGTTTTGCCCACACTTGATTATGAGGTCTATGCATTTGGAGTTCTGCTTCGGATATGTATATATGATGTCCTATCTCAGATCTTATCTTTTCTTTAGTAAATGTATTCCTAGTCTCGGAAGAGAGACTGTTTCCCTTGGTTATTCCTTCAGGAAAGACTTTACTGCTATCAGAACAGCCAAATTCACCATATATATCAGCATTATCATCTCGTTCTTTGTAATTTTGTTTCTGGAAAATATTCCACTTTTGGATTGCCTCTACCACTAATTTTGTTTCAAGATCTGCCTCGTAAGTTGAACCCATAGCAGGAACGGTTGCAACAGAATCTAGCTCAGAACACATACGCAATGCATACTGCGTCATACAGCCCGGAGATGAAAAAACAAGCAGGCGATGATTTGCTTTTAGAAGGCCTGAATCTGCACATTGTCTAGTACTATTGCAGTGGTGAAAAGCTGAAGCAATGGACCCAGAAAAAGAAATTGTCCTTCCAGTTGCAGCAGCTGCAGCACCGGTTACAGTATTTCTCCAACCATTACCTCCACTCCTTATTCGACCAACAGCAGAAAGAGTCACCGGAGGACCAGATTCACAGATGTTATGTTGATTAAGCACCGGAATTTTTGAATTCGAGGTGCAATGAACTGCAGGTTTTTCCAAGACACTAGAGCCATTACTCCTACCAGTAAGAAATGCATCTGAAGATTGAAAATTAACTGTCCCTGAAGAAGGAATTGTAAATAGATGGCTAGTCCCTCTGGAAGAAGTTATCATAATCCACTGGCTATCACCACTAAAACTTATATCCTGTATAACCTAAGATATCCAAAAGGAAAATTTAGTTTACAGTCCTTAAAAACAATTAATTTAAACAGGAAGAGCAAGCAGGCAAACTACACCTACCGCATTAGTCAGTCCACGCTGCAGCCTGTAAAGATGGAGATAAGATGAACCAGGATTAGGCGATTTATTTTCAGATAGTATAGGCATTATCTGGAATACATTGATATTATGACCCTGAACTGAAGCTGTCACCAATCGAGTACTGCTAGGATCAAAGCATAGAGCTGAAATAGGACTCTTATGTGCCCTAAACTGAGCAATAAGAGCTTTGCTGACAATGTCCCTGACTATGACCTAAGATGCACAAAATTCATGACGTTAACATAGAGGTTGAATGTTGATCCACAACAGTGTATTCATAAAGCACCAAATGCCAATCACTTTCAAATATACAAATTAAATGAAGAGAGACACACACAACACAATAACCACAATATAAGAGTTGATTATGATATGAACGAACTTATTGCAAAATCAACAGAACACAAAAAAAAAATCAGTCAAGAACTAACGTTTTACATGTATCAACTCAAAAGAGGAAGAGAGCAAAATATTCTGTCCACAGCAAGGAGCAGATATAGAAAGAAGTGACTGAAATGGCACATGAAGATATAAGTTTAAACCACTATTCACAGTGAGATAATGGATGTTGATCAGAGTAATTTGTACCATTCCGACATTGTCTGCACCTGGGAGATGACCATTAGCAGTTCCTGATATCTTTCCACAAGCAGTCCCAGATTGAGAACAATTACTATCTGGTGACAGATCAGAATAGTACCTAGCGAGCTTCTTATACCCGATGTCCCCTAGAGTCACAATACCAGCTGCAAGTCGCTTGCTGGATTCCTTTGCATAATGAGCGATTAAGCTGCCATTTGGAGCCAGACTGGGGAAACTAGCTGAAGGAGTAAGGTGCTGTGGATTGATGTGACCAGAATTTGAAATTGAAACTGGACTTCCACTATAGGCCATCCACCTGGGACCCAATGCAAGAGGTCCCACACCTGTACTACCGAACCCTGAAAAACCCGTGATGACAGGATTGGTAACAACAGTATATTCCTTATCTAGAGTTGCAGCATCAAAGCAGTGTATCTGCAATAGGAAAAACTTAACCGATGTCTAGCAAGAAGAGATCAACCAAAAGTTTATAATATGATACACATACCTGAGTTGCTTGTAAAATGGCAATCACACGGGAGCTACATCTAACCAAATGAACAACTGATCTGAACTTCAACTGATGCACATAAGAGTAACATGTCAAGGAATAAAACCAAACAATAGTGGGATCAAAACTGGTACTCTCTTGGTCATGATGTTGTTGGATGGTTACATCATGAAGTTTCCCTATGCCCTCCCGAATGTTACTACCTCCAGAAAAACACCCATCAGTACAAAGTATTAAAACTGGGTGACTATCAGAAAATTTGTCCTCGTGCTTCTTTGATGCTATTGGTTTTGGTAATATATGCATGAAAGGAACAGGACCATCTGACCTGGAAACTAAGTTGCGTATATTATCAGAATCTTCAACATCCCAAATCTGGAAACCATACTGACAACCCAAGAGCAAAATTTGACGAGAAGTGCCTCCCTCACATTCCAGCTTGTCAAATCCAGCCCACAGAACCTGATGTGGTAGAAGAAGAATATGAGACGGCATAATTGCCATCGGGAAGTGCAGTAAGAGAATCAAAGAATATTCACATAGCAATGTGGCAACCAGCACCTCTTAGCGCTGCAGGCAAGTGATTGAACTGATATCATATAATATATTTGATCCATTAAACAAACAATTTTTTTGTTTACCACCTTTCTATATTAAGCCTTTTTTAAGAAAAGGCATAAAATTTATTAATAATGGGGAAACCTCCATATACAAGACGTATACTGAGAAACCTTCAGTATTAAGTTTCTCAATGATGATTACATGAATGAAGAATCATAACTGAATTAAATCCTTGACTAGTGATGAAACCCTAAATGAACCAACCTAAGCTTAAGTGGGTTCCTTCACTGTCGTTGAACCAAGTTACTGCTTTGTTATTGGGTCCAAACAGATATTTCTTATATATTTAATAGATTTCACAATATAAATATAGGTTTAGCACAAAATTTACTGGTTCCCCTCAACTCAACCCGGTACCCTAGATCCATCCATGCTACAACACTGACTAGCGCATATGGTATAATTCTTGAAACTCTATACAAACTCGGGAAAGTTCTAACAGGGAGTTTACTTTTGTCCCAAAAATATTCATTAAAATGATGGAACAAATATTGTCACACACAAAAAATTCTGAACTTCTCCAGAGTAACCTTAAAACACAATAAAAAAAACCAGTGAAGCATTCAAGATATAAAGAATTTGCTGCATAAACTAGCACTATTCAGCATTAAAATTCCATCCAACTAATATTATCCAGCTATAACTTGTTGACAAGATTTATTTTTAATTACCTTGGTGTCCATCCAACTACTATTATCCAGCTATAACTTGTTGACAAGATTTTTCTTTTATTACCTTGGTGTCCAGACCAACTTTCGCAGCTCTCAACTAATCCATGAGATACCTGCCACCTCCCACCAGCAACAGGTATCAGTAACTCATCTCAGCTCAGCTGGAATTTGAACATATGACCTCACGGCTCTCAACCACTTCATTAACCTCTAGGCCACACTAGCAACTTATTGACAAGATTAACAAGTAAAGTTCCAACCTTTTGCTAAAATATAATCTATTCACCATAACATCTAACTAATTCAAAGTAATTTGAAGCACGAAAATTGCACCTGATCATGCTCATTGTCCCTGTCCACAATAGCCGAAGCAGCTGACCTAACAGTTGAAGAAACAGTCGAAGCACCAGAGGATACAATCCTAGAAAGAACTCGAAACGACGTCGGAATGAAGCCATTACTACTCCTACCTGACTTTGATCCTTCCTTTGGTTTTTCACCATCATTGTTCTTCGTCCCCATGCCCCAAAACACAAATCAAAAATACCCCTTTGCTTCTTCAATCCTCTTTCATCTGCATCCAACACCCAAAACATCCATATACTTGCAAATCACAGAAAAAAACAAGAATCCCACTTCAATTCCAATTTGGGTTTTTCAGATATTCACAGTTTAGCAATCTCTAAGAATCACAACAACTTTTTCAAGAAAATCCTTCAATTGCATGTACTATCTGATAAACCTACAACTAATTTATCAAATCATCGAGACCCCAGAAAAAAATTAATTACGTATAAAAATAGTATCTGTTTTACAAATATGAATTTGAATCGGCAGGGTTGAAATCTTGGAGACCCAAAGAAAGAGGAGAAAACATCAAAATTAAAAATAAAAAAAAACATTATTTAAAATTTTCAAAGTTAAGTTAGAGTTGTAGTTGGAATAGTGTTGTCATAGTTTTTGTAGTTACTCCCTCCCCATGTAATGTGACAATATTTGATCGGGCACTAAGTTTAAGAAATAAATGAAGAGTTTGAAATGTTTACAAAATTGTCTTTTAAAAAGTAGACTCACTTTTATTTCTCCTCATAAATGTATTGGAGTATTATTTTAAGATTAAGTGGAACCAACAAGGATAAAAGAGGAATTATACATTTAAATACTTATCATATAAGGAAATGTGACATTCTTTTTTGAACTGATCAAAAAGGAAATGGTGCCACATAAAATGGGACGGAAGGAGTAATATTTTTTTAAAATAATAATAATATAATTTGAATATGAAATATAATTCAAATTGGTAATTTTATGACAAAATTAAATGAAAAGGTGAAAAAAAAAGTGATATTATAGGCTGTTTGGAATTGAACACACTAGGGTTTGAAAAAACTCATGTGAAATTTAGAGATGGATTGAAAGAGTGTCACTAATAGCCTAGCTTACCCAATGTCATCAACTTTTTGAATTAATATCAATTACCTAGTTATAATACTAGAATATATGTTAGCACATCCCTATGATTTTTAATACTTGAAAACAATCTCATTATTGATACATTGTAAAACAATCATTGAAATTTGATATTGAATTGACAAATTGTGTTGCTCAATTTTAAACCTCCAATTTACTTTTCTTGTAATATTTTTGAACATGCAAAAAGCTAGTAAATCAACAACACTCTAATGTGAAACTAGAACCTCATAGCCTGTGGAATCGATCCCAACTTTTTAGTTGGTTTATTATATTGCTAACGATCGTCAACATCTTCTTTGAGAGGTGTAATTGAGCTTTTATCGGTTGTGATTGTGATTGCTATGTAATATTGATCGAATTGCTTCTACGAGTAAAGGATTCCTCTTGAGGGTCATATTCAAAGATTAGATGCTTGTTCGTATTAGTAATTCAAAATTTTAGTTGTTTTACAACCATTATTATCAATTAGTTCCTACTTGTGTCTATCTTTCTGTCATTTTTTAATCTTTATTATTGTTATTAGTTTTTGAATTTTGATTTTGCAGTTTGGTATGTATCATCTGTCTATCAAAGTTTGGACATACAGAAGAAATCATGATATTTTTTCTTTATTAATTTTTTAATCAGAGACCTATGATCATTATTACACTTCATTGATCACATATAGGGTTTTTAAACAAAAAGATACATATAACGAGTTTGACTAGACTTAAATAGATTATCCTTCATATTTCATTAAAACGATAACAATAGCATAAAAAGATGAAAAACGAAAAAACAAATTCAAACCAGGTAATACTACTAAAAGATAAGAAGACCAAATAATAATAGAAAAATAAAAAAAAGTATTACATGTTCAATGAACATCCTAAGATTTTCCATCATTCTCTTCTCCATCATCGTTGTCATTGGGATTAATTTCATTTTCAACATTTTCATTCCGTTGTTTTTTTCTTTCATCAAGTTTGCCCCTCTTAACTGCAAATAGCTTTAACAAACATTTAGTTTCTGTGATGTCAAGTTCATCAACTCGTTTTTCTGCCTTAACCAAGTTGGTTGAAGAGTTTCTCCATTTCCTTTTGCTCAACCATTTTCTCTATTTTATAAATATGTTTTTTCTGAGCATCCACTATTTTCTTAAGGTGGTGGTCATGTCTTTCCAACTTATCTAGGTTTCCTTTATTGATGCTAGCTAAATAGTTTTTTATGCTATCTTTAGCCTAGATTAGAGATGGCCAAACAAAAACGTTGTTTTCTCCTGGAGTGAAAACAATCAGACCAAAATCTATATCACATAGAATAGACAACTCATTTGCTTGCTTACATAGTGCTTCTAATCGTTTATCTAAAATGGCATTTTCCATTATCGGATCGAAATTTCTAGTGTTCCTAACCCCCTTTTTAGTCATATTTTTGTGAATGAGTACCTCTCTATATATCAAATAATAGTGTTTGGCTAATATTTATAGATTTCTGAGAGGACTAGATAATAAAATAATTGGAAAGTGATTAATATAATTTGACAAAAATTGGAAATAAACTATTTATACAATCTGATTTTTAAGGTAGTTAGTAGCTACTAGCCTAAATAAAGATTGTTAAAATCTTAAAACTTAATCATGAAGTTTGATATTAAATGATTTTATTTTCACAATAATTATATTTGAATCTAGAGATAGATTATCTAAACTGAGGTTATATGTTGTTTAGAATTAAAAACACGTTGAGGTTTGAGAAAACTCATGTGAAATTTAGTGAGAGATTGAAACATTATCACTAATATCACTAGCCTAACTTACCCAATGGCATCAACTTTTGAATCAATGTCAATTACCCAGTGGTAATACTGGAATTTATGCTAGCACATTCCTAGGATATCTTAATGTTAATACCCCAAAAAAATTTGAGCTAAAACTTGAACCATCCTTCGTTGTGAGTAGGATTTTACCAAGGAATTTAAAATTTCTTAAGTATTAAGGTCAGGTCACTAGATGTAGCACCTTGAGTTTCAAAAAGAATTAAATTGGACATAGCAAAAATCTGAAATTTTGCTAGTTAAGCTAAGTATGAGTTTTGGGTTGACTTTAAACGACCATAAATCCTAGCTCAGAATGAGTTAGATGTACTACCAGATACCGTAGGAAAGACCTCTGAATTATCTTTCCAACGCTATCGAGTTTGCTCAGTTTTGATATCGTATGAGGGAGATATGTCCATTCGAAGTTGGGCTGTCTAGATAAGGAAAGTCAAAACCGGATTTTAGAGGGGTATTTTGGTCTTTTCCTTACCCATCAGATTTAATTC